AACCTTTTTTCTTGCAGTTTTGCAGTCTTTGCTTTACTATAACATTGTACTTGTACAATTACATTTTGAACCCCATCCCTCTAAAAAACCCACAGCGCGAAACAGCAGACAGACACAATAAGAGATAGAAGAGCTTGTAAACAGTGGAGCGTTAAGCATCCAAAAGAGTCACATTCAGGAGTAGGTAAGACTAAAAAAGAGCTAAAAGAAAGTGAATAATAGATTTAAATTCAACAGCAGTGAACATAAGTGTTGCTCCATAACTGCTGAATGTGTAACTGTTTGCTTACAATTTCAACTTAAAAGGTGATGTTTATATCAGTGTTGTGCTCAAGATGTCGCAACAGTTTCCATCAATAATGCACATTGTTGTCTTGTGGTCTAACCTGGAATACTTGAAATGCACTAAGTGTATAGGTAAGAAAATCAATACATGTATAGTGAAACATCCATTAGCGGATTACTAGTTATGTTGCACTTTCTTATTTCCCAGCTCTCCCTCTGTGAGTGGGCCAGGCTTCTCCAGCAGACTTAGCAAGAGAGCCCTCTACAGTTATTTCCGCCAGGTTGCACAGCTGGGTGGGCATAGCTATCTGCTGGATCTTCCCACTACCACAGTGTCAAGGTGTGTTCCAGCTATAGATGATCTCATTGTGCTTCTATCTCTGGCATATCCACATGGATGAAGGAACGCCACCTTCAACTAAACCTCTCTAAGACTGATTTCCTAGTCATCCCGGCTGAATCGGTCTCTTCATTATGGTATCAATATCAGAATCAACTCTTCATCTCTTACCCCAACCTTTTTTTTCTTGCAGTTTTGCAGTCTTTGCTTACTATACATTGTACTTGTGACAATTACATTTTGAACCGCCATCCCTCTAAAAACCCACAGCGCGAAACAGCAGACAGACACAATAAGAGATAGAAGAGCTTGTAAACAGTGGAGCGTTAAGCATCCAAAGAGTCACATTCAGGAGTAGGTAGAGACTAAAAAAGAGCTAAAAGAAAGTGAATAATAGATTTAAATTCAACAGGTGAACATAAGTGTTGCTCCATAACTGCTGAATGTGTAACTGTTTGCTTACAATTTCAACTTAAAAGGTGATGTTATATCAGTGTTGTGCTCAAGATGTCGCAACAGTTTCCATCAAATAATGCACATTGGTTGTCTTGTGGTCTAACCTGGAATACTTGAAATGCACTAGTGTATAGGTAAGAAAATCAATACATGTATAGTGAAACATCCATTAGCGGATTACTAGTTATGTTGCACTTTCTTATTTCCCAGCTCTCCCTCTGTGAGTGGGCCAGGCTTCTCCAGCAGACTTAGCAAGAGAGCCCTCTACAGTTATTTCCGCCAGGTTGCACAGCTGGGTGGGCATAGCTATCTGCTGGATCTTCCCACCTACCACAGTGTCAAGGTGTGTTCCAGCTATAGATGATCTCATTGGTGCTTGGTGCTCACTCCTGAGAAGTGTGTCACTGTAAACCTATAAGGTGTGGTAATGATGAATGTGCTGTGTATTCTGCTTGAGTGTGTTGTGACTTTCCTGCAATGCAGTTTTTAGACAGATGTGATGAATGATATTGTTAATGGTTTGTTTGTAGGGGGAAGCCGCCGTCTACCAGACAGTCAAAGATCTGGTCAAGCAACAGTTTCTGAAAATCCATGCTGGTACATGGAATTCAAAAAAGCTGGTGGATTGCTTTAGTGCTTGAACACTTTTCCAGAACCTGGCAATGTGCAAGTTTATCCTAGTTCCTCTTGAGATTTTGTTTGCTGTTGGTCTATGTACTAATCACCTTTTATCAGTAATTCAGCTTTTGTTTTATGCATAACATTTTCAGTTTTGTGTAGGTGTTTGAGAAAAATAAACGAGACCCTACTGTTATGCACCACAGTAAAGTAGTCAGTTTGAATGAGTTGTGGGTGGGAACATTGCTTAAAGGCCAAAGCTGAAAGGGAACACTTTCCCTGCCCTGTCAAATAGAATTGAGCAACATTATCACCCTGTCGTTCTGTCGCCAAAAGCTTGCACTGAACAAAAAAGCAAGTTGTGTTGCTGTATCAACCAAATTATACAACCAGTCATTGGTATGGAGAGGCCATTATGAACAGGTAATTATTTTATGTTTTACAATTCAGTGCTTAATGAAAATCACTATCACTATGATTTTAAACCCTCTGAGATTTTACTCATATATAGTGTTTACGGTTGTACCTGCAGCAAGCCCAGTGTGTTTGAGGTCAGAGGTCTTTAGTCCATATTTTCTGACTGGTCATTTAATGCACTTTTATTCAATATTGCTTAATATACTGTGTATTAGTTAGTTTAACTTTTGCAATCCATAAATCTTTGCCTTCAAAAGTTTATCATAAAATTTTATCAAAACCTCTCTGCTACTCTGAAGAAAAAATTAAAAAGTTTTGCAAGACTTTGCAGAACCAGTAACTACTGTCAGGCTTTTGTAATGGTTTGCATTACATTGTGCAGGTGTTAAAGTGAGGCAGACAAGATCAACACTATCTGTCAAATGTTGTGGGGATAGATCTTAGTTGTCTCTCTACAGTGCTACAGATCAAGTCCAATCAATATCGGTGGTACAGTATTTAAATCATACACTCACTGGCCACTGTAGTCAGTACACCTGATCAGTCCCCTGTGGACAAAGTATTTTTATAGAGTACAACACCACCCACTACAACTTCAGTGATAAATATGAAGGAGAATTATCACCTTTCTTACAGAGTCAACAAAAACAAAAACTTATAAGATTTGTAAAATAAGAATTTATGGCACAACTGTTGTGTTGGGTTGACATAGATTGTACAGGTGTACCTAATAAAGTGGGGCAGTGAGTGTATATCGACCCAAGACTTCACTAGTGTGAAAACTTCTTATGTGTGGATGGAATTAAGGAAATGAGCAACAGATGAGGCTTAAATTATAAAAATGACTAATTTTGGACAACCATCACCTTTTCATCACAAAGAAGGTGTCAGAATACAGACACACAGGATGGCAGTCACATTCAAACAGCGGTTTAGTGATTATTTCAATAAGTAATAAGGAGTGATTGTAGAATAATTTGTTTTAATCTGAAGTGCACAGAGAGAAATAGGTAAAGAAAGAACACAGGGAGACTTGTGTCATCTTGAATTTAAAATGTTATTCTTTTTTCATACAAACTGGGTACCGTGGTTCATTGTCACCATGGCTCCACTCACCAGTTGCTTGGCAACCAACTCCTCCTTGGAACTGATGCAACCACTCATGTCTTTATAATTACAGGCTCTTTTACAATATTTAGCAAAAACAAAAAAACAGTAGTATTGTATTCTAAAATTATCTAATGAAGCTGGAATACAATGGTGCTTTATAGTTAAATTCATCCCTACACTGCATGGATTACACAGCTCTATGTTAAGGCTGCTGTTTGAGTTTTCAGGCTTATCGTTTCTGGAATTTGCATGTCTATGTGTAAATGCAAATATGCATGTGTGTCCTCTGTGTTTTATCTTTGTTCTTGCTGGTCGAGCAAGTGGTTCCTCCTGCCAGATGCCTGGTTCATCCCCCTCTGAGAAGGCACGGCTCTTATACCTGAGGGGCTTCTCTGGGCTCGAAGGAGAGCCAGGGAATTCACAAAAAGGCCTGCAAGGTAATTAAACATCAGTGAACAATTTAGAGGTGTGAAAAACAAATATTTAGTCATTCTCTCACGTATGCCTGGGAGTTGGGGGTTAAACCTAAATTTTGCTGATGGCTAAAACCTGTAAGAAATAACGGTTATCTTGTTTTTAGTTGTGTTTAAACTGGCTAAATTACAAAGGCTTTCATGTAATTATTTAATGTCAGTGCAGTCTCATTAATGCACGCAGTGACATTCACTGTGATACAGCAGCCGAGGGACTGTGATGTCTGACTAAATCTGCAATCATCTCATAGGGAGGGGGCAGAATCCCAACAAGATGAATTATACCTTTCAATTACAACCTTAAATGTCTTACAACAGATGAGGATTAAAGAATTCATCAAGAGTATAATGTCAAAAGAAGATAGACCAATGAAAAATGAAGAATATCTCACTAAAGTGGTTTTTGAAGAACTCATTAAGGATTATAATTAAAACCTATTATTTCACAAAACACATGTTACGACTTTGCTGTGCTTTTATTTTTGTATTAGAATTTTACTATCATTGAACTTTTAATTCATCTTGGATTGTCTTCTGTAATTGTTTTTGCTCTTAAGTGTGCTAAAATGACAGCAGTGTCGACAGACATTATGAATTTAGTAAATGTGTGCTGCTTTGGAACGAGTATGCCGTGTTTCCTCACCCAGGTTTGGTCTCTTGCAGGACGAGTCTCTCTGGCTGGAGTCGGAGGAAGCTGATGTGCTTTCTGTGGAGCTGGACTTGACGGAGTGAACCGATGGCACTGATGCTCTCAGAGGGTTTAATCTGGGTTTAGCCACAACTCCTGCTGAGGCTGAGTTGCTCCACTCTGGATGACAACACCAAACAAGTAACAGAATATCAAGCCCAGAGTTTAATTTGTTTTTTAATTGCTTTTATTGTAAGTAATTAACCTCACAAGTGGAACCCAATAACACAACACACTGACAACGCAAACTAAAACAGACTGATGGAAAGCCAGATTGGTGATCTCAAAACTTTGGATTATACCGGTTAACTGACTGATCACGTGTTTCACTAGTTATTTATTAAATGTAAGAATGAATTGATAAAGTAACATCATAATGTGTGTGGCTGTCGTACCAGAGTACTCCTCAAGTCGAAAACGTCCAAAGCAGAGGTGAATCCTCCACTGTTTCCTGACATTCTCCTTCATCAGACAGTGGAAGAGGAAGATAAAAAGTCCTGAAATATATAAACAATAAAAATAATATGAAGAAAAGTGAGTTCATGAACCACGGTGGGCCAAATGGGTCTTGGTTAGTGGCTCTATTCTTTCCTCTGTAGATACAGTTGATTTGTCCTTGAACAAGGCATTTCACTCCGAGAGGTAAACAGTGGAGGGCTTTCGTTGCATCACTCTCAGATAAAACAGAAAGTAATATAACAAGAGGCCAGTTGAGGTAAAAGCACTTTTGAAACAGTTGCATCATTCAGCCTCTGTTTGATTTCTTCCCTTTTTTACTGAATTCTTTTGGTTTCTTTTGAACTGTGAATGTGAAATGGGATGTTTAGGAAAAGTGTATGTGTGGTTAGCAAACCTTCATTCAATGGACACACACTCACAGTGGCCCTCATGCAAGAACGAAAGTAGTAGTTGGATTTACCAAACCCTCTCACTGTGAGTGCACAATCTTATCATAAATTGCTTGTTCTCAACTTGATGAATGCCTCCTGTTCATGAGGAGGTGCTTCTTAGTGAGATTTGAGTCATCATAGTCAACCCCCTAAAAATTGCAATTTAATGCTTCCTCTCTCTTTGTGGTTAAGTTTCATTCACAAAAAGATCAGAAAGCAGAACTTCACACCAGGGAGCTTCAGGTCCTGCAATCCAAATGAGCAGATGAACAACCCAGACATTGGATGCAACGGTCTTGGAGACTAATGAGAAAATCTGTTACACACTGACAGAGACTTGCATGAAGACCCTGGGGCAGCAATTCGCAAAAAAGTCAAAATCGAACCACTCAGTAAAGCCATGATGAAGATGATGATATAGTGAGTAAATAAACTATTTGAGGTTCTGACATTTCGAAACTTCAGATCCATTTGGATTAAGGCATTATAATTAAGTCACACAAGTGTTTTTTGTTGAGAAAAGGCAGATGGTCTGTACGTGACTCATGCAGCAGGTCAGAGCCACACAGGAATTGGTAGATGCCATAAATTTTCTTAAAAGCCCTGCACTCCAATATTATACCCACTTAGGTAATTTGATTTATTTTGGTTGATTAGAGCTTTTCTCAGAGATGTCAATGAGTGTGCAGACTGTGTTTGATTTGCATCTCCCTCACTCTTCAGTTTGCTCTGTTGCACCTGGTTGCACCTGCCAGGGTGGGACACAATTCTCATTCTTGTTGGTACAGGATGTGTGATTTCTAATGCCCAGCAGAAGCTCTGCTCACCTTGAACCTGAGCAGAAACCTAATCAGCCAGAATAAGTGAAAACACTTGAGGTGTGCCGGACTCTTAAATCCGTCATACATGCCACTTAACACTTCTATTTGAAGCCTCCTCTCTCTATGCTTCCATTTTTAGACATGTATTATTCAGCTTTCAGCTTTCAGTAAGTGTCTCTTGTACAAAAAAAAAGAAAAAAAGAAACTACAACCTTGCAGAGAGTTGAGTCCAGAGAAAAGGTACAGCAGAACTACTCTGGCTGGCCCAAAGGTAAAGAAGCCAACAGTCCACGTTAGTCCAAGTAACAAAGTAAGACTGGCAACACCCTTTAGGTCATGCAACAGTCCACTGCGGGTTCCAGCTGGGCTGTTGACTCGCATGTGGCGAATCTGGATCAAAACCACCACAAAAACCTAAAAAGAAATTCAAAGGAAGGTTTAGAGTGCCTAAGTTACAAGAAAACAATAATGAAATTAAAAATAAGAGATAAAATAATGAAGTGCCCTCAAATGGGAGATTTGGTGGAGTCATGCCAGGCTACGTGAGCTACAACGCCTGGTCTGTCTATTTTAATATCAGATTTTAAGATGTACAGTATACATTACTGTGGTTTTGAAGTATTG